TGAAGCTGGACAAACAGACTGGATCTCTGACCATCATGAACATCAGGACCGCAGATGCTGGACTTTATAGACTACAGATCATCAACAGCAGAATCAGCAACATGAAGAGATTCAGTGTTACTGTCGCTAGTGAGTATACTTTAGTGTTGATGCTCATTAAATATATACATCTTTGATCTAGTAGGTTGATCCACAAGTAGTCAGAGAAGTCATTAAAGGATTAGTTCACTTCCAGAATTAAAACTCCCTGATTATTTACTCACCCCCATGTCATCCAAGATGTTCATGTCTTTCTTCTTCAGTCTTCAATGGTGGCCAATGGGTTGAAGGTCCAAACTGCAGCTTCAGTGCAGCTTCAAAGTGTTCTACACGATCCCAGACGAGGAAGGGTCTTATCTAGTGAAATGATCGGTCATTTTCTAAAAAAAAAAAATATATAGATTTTTAACCAAACTAGCTTTTTAACCACAAATGCTCATCTTGCACTAGCTCTGCGATGCGCATGCATCTTCATGCATTGTGTAATCATGTTGGAAAGGTCACATGCAGTTAGTTCTTCATCTTTATATTACAGTTCAAAAAGGTAGGGCGAAAAACTCCCATCTTATTTTCTCCACCAACTTCAAAGTTGCCTGTCATTGTTGTTTTTCTTTTTTTTTTTTTTCTAAAGTTGTTTGACTTTGTTTGCATGTTCGCTTTGTAAACACTGGGTCGGTACTTTCCCCTACGTGACGCGTGACGCGTGTGTGATTATGTAACGCGTGAGGTTGAGCTAGTGCAAGATGAACATTTGTGATTAAAAGTCCACTATATGGAGAAAAATCCTGGAATGTTTTTCTCAAAAACGTTAATTTTTTTTTTTCAACTGAAGAAGGAAAGACATGAACATCTTGGATGACATTGGGGTGAATAAATGATCAGGAAATTTTTATTCTGGAAGTGAACTAATCCTTTAAGTATAAGTTCATCCATGAGACTCATGTATGTTTGTATGATGAGTGAATGTGTAAACCAATGTTTTTCTGCTGTTCGTTTGCGGAAAAGTTATGTTAGGTTATGAATCCAGACATATTTTTCTACCCACAGCATATATGATCTGTTGGAACAGGACTTTCCTGTTGTATAATTTTGTTTGTTGTATAATGAATTGTTCATTTCTTCTTCAGGTTCATCTGGTGTTGGTACAGATGAGGTGTCAGCATATGTGATGGAGGGAGATTCAATCATTCTAAATACTAATGTTAAAACAAACCTACAAGAAAGGATTAAATGGTTTTTTAAAGACATCCGCATAGCTCGAATCAATGGAGATCTCAGTAAGATCTGTTCAGGTGTTCAGTGTAATAAAGGTACTGAGAGATTCAGAGGCAGACTGAAGCTGGACAATCAGACTGGATCTCTGACCATCCTGAACATCAGCACCACAGACTCAGGACTTTATGAACTAGAGATCATCAGTGACAGAATCAGCATCATGAAGCACTTCAGTGTTGTTGTTCAAGGTGAGTCGTTATGTTTAATAGCAAGTCTTGTACATTTATAGCATTGTTCAGCAACGTATGTAAGAGCTGGTGTCGGACAACGATGAAGAAGAGGCTCCGGCAGAAGTAGAAACTCGTAGAATGTACCAGAATGTTTCTTAATGGTTAGCTGATAAATTTGTCATTTTTGAAAACTGAAAATATTTAGGCCATTTTCAAAATATCAACAAATAATGTTTTTCAGGCTGAAAGTTGAGATGGGGCGTAATGAATTCCTTTCATATCCACAGATCTTGATGTTGTGTAGTTGTTTTTTTTGTTTTTTTGTCTCAGAAATTCAAATTTATTTCTAAAGCACTGAATAAAACAACAGCGTTGACCATAGTGCTGTACAAACAGTAACACAATGAGCAGAAGACAACTTTTAAAAAGGGATCACATCCATATAATTAAATGAAATCAAAAAGTGCAACTTCATCAAGAGAGCAAGTAAGGGTACCAATACTGACTTATTAATACTTGCCAATATGATATTTCAAGCATTTTAGATGTGCAGGCTGTTTAGGAAGATGAATGTCTCTGCAAGATAAGAAATGTGTTATTTAGAATCACATGATTCGGTTTAATTATTATTATTATTTTATTTTTTTGTACTTTTTAAGGGGTGGCTTCTTTAGACTTGTAAGGAAACGGTCACTGTTATGATTAGCCTTGTCGCTTTTCCACCCTCGGGCTGAAGTGTTCTCCTTGCTTAACCGTTCTGTTGGTGGTTTCGTTTCCACTGTTGGTCTGATAATTATGGAGGCGGTCCAATGCAACATTTTGATGCAAAATTACAGTATGTTTTATAGTAGATGTCAAGAGATCAAACGAAAATTTGATTCTTCATGTCATTACCGTTTTTAAGAGAAGCTTCCCATATTTAAGACATGTTAACTTAATCTTAAATATCTGGATATCAGCATATGAAATATTTAGTCTTGTTCTCTTTGTGTAACTGAACCATCAATCCTGTTGATTTCTTCTGTGATTCTGTGTTTTAGAATCGTGCTGGAGACCTTTCCCCTAATCAGATTGAAGCTCTGCTGATGAGTGAGACGTCCTCTAATCAGTCTGAGACTCATGCTGCCAATGAGACGTCACAGTAACATTATTATTTTGATTGTTTCATTGAAAGAGAACATGAAGAGAAGATTGGAAATGAGAGAAGAGCATCAGCTGAAACTCACAACACTCAGAAACACAATACCATGATTTCAGTATTACTGAAATGTCACCTAATACAAACTAATTTACAATATAATTTATAATTCAATTAAGTGATTTAAATAATACATTAAAGAATTGAATCTATATTTAAATAACGTAGGTGTTGCTTCAGAAATACAAATAATTAGCAAAAAAGTAATAAAAAGTATAAAGACAGTTCATTTAGAAATGAATGTGAAACAAGTCATTTGAATCAAGTAATTTAATACTTAAAAACAATCAGTTTTTACAGAGGAGCTGTCATCAATCAACTCACAGGTACTGAATTGAGTCTGTACTACCAATACTAGTAATATTACAGTCTTTAAAGTTGTGCTGTTGTCGTTTGACAACACTAGAGAGGAACATGCCTAATGAAAACACCAGTGTGCTGTTATTCATAACATTCATATTACTCAAAGCTGGTGTTTATAGCAGGAATCAGTTTATTTGTGTTTGAGTCTACGAAGCAGTTTGTTTGTTTTGGTGTTGCAGCTGTATGGTTAAAGAAAGGTTGAATGTTCAAATCCTGCAAGGGTTGATCCATGAAATCTCACCACTGTGTCCTTGATCAAACTCTGAAACTCAGGATTTGAACCTGCAACAACTGCACTGAAAGACACGGTGGAGAGAAGCAGCAACCAAATGCCAAATATGTGTTATTTTGTTATATATTTTCATAACTGTTACTGGATGCTAAATAAGCTTTTTACTGGTATATTAAGCAACTGAAGGGTGTTTAAGCACACTTAAAGGAATAATTCACATGAAAATTAAAACTCAGCCATCCAAGATGTAGATGAGTTTGTTTCTTCATCAGAACAGCTTTGGAGAAATCTAGCATTAGAGCACCAGTGAATCCTGCAGTGAATAGTAAAAACAGCCAGAAGGACATGAGACAACAATGAACACAGGAAACACACAGTAGGGACTAACAATGCTGGGAATATAACAATCAGGGACTGATCGAACAAGAAAAACTACAAAGGACCATGTGACAGGAAACAGGAATACAACTTAAACATAAAAGTCCAGGGACAGAACCAGGTAAAATCATTAAGGTGTTTTAACTTGAACCTGTAGCTTCTGGCCAAAATATAAGTTCTTAATGCATAATAACCTCCAAAATATGTTCCATTGAAGAAACAAACTCAACTACATTTTGGACGGCTTTAGGGTGACTACATTTTCAGCACATTTTCATTTTTGGGTGAATTTTTCCTTTAACATGCATTTATTGGTAAAACAACAATATTATAATGTGCATACATGTGTATTATAATCTTAAGATGTTTGCTACAGAAGTTAGAAGTGTATCATGCTTATTTTTGTAAAGTTCTCAGAAAAGACTGCACTGTCAGAGCTGAAGTACTGTAATATGCCAAACTCCTCACAAAAACCTCATCAAAAATGGTTTGTTTTCCAAACACAGTATTAAGAATCAAGTTTAATTTGTGTAAAATCAGTTATGTTACCTTATGTTGCCTATATGGGCAGTATTTCAGATACATGTATTTAAAATACATATTTGAAATACAAAATATTATTTTGTATTTTAAAGCCTTTGGCAAAAATCAGATGTAATTTGTATTTAAATGCATTTAAAATGAGTATTTTCAAAATAAAATACTTTGTGCCAGTCAACCTCTTTATCAGCGTGCTGATTTAGTTCAGACATGAACTCCCCACAACCCCAACATTCATCACGTGAGCTGCAGCTGTACAACTCCATTCAGCATTGGGTGAGTGACTTTTCTGGAATAAGATGAGGTCAGGATGTCATGGTCAATTGTATTTGTTGATTAAAGTTAAAATAGTGCATCATTCAGATTTGCCTTCAGTTAACATGAAAGAAGAAAAGAGCACTGACAAGGGAACAAATAGTGTTTGTCAATCAGTTTTGATAATCGGTTGTTGTTTTTCATTAACTAGCTTGTCAAATGTTTAAAGCATTACTCCATGTTAGGTCTGGGTGATATGACAATATTGTGGCGATGATATAAAGTGTGAATAGTTCAATCAAGTGTGAATATATCCGTGCAGCTTTAAGTGGGAAAACATTGGAGTGGATAAAGAAGCATGGACGGATGGTTGAGTAATGGAGTGTGATGTGCTGCACTTATTATAAGTGCAGTATGCCGTGAAAGGAAATTCAAGTTCACACTCGCACTTTGGCAGGCAGTTTTTTGTGCGCGCGCACAAGTAGGCCTACATTTCTGTCTTAAAGGGTTAGTTCACCCAAAAATGAAAATTCTGTCATTAATT